CGCCCCCGCCGCCGCCCCCGAGGGGCCGCCCCGCACAGAGCTGCAGGAGCTGCAGCTCAAGGCGGGGCAGGTCACAGATGAGGTGAGTGTAATACCGGTCGGTCGAGTGAGAAGTCGAACTTACGCACCGAGGAAAACGTTTTTCTCACAAATGCGTTAATCTCATTAAGCCCCATCACGAGGGCATGACTTTGTGAGGTCAGATAATCTGATCACTGGGAAAAATTCTGTACCGAAGTAAAGAAAATGTACATAATCTTTGTACCGGGTGTTCCTTTTACATGCGCTCCAGTGTTTGCGGGTTTAGCCTTCTCCCCGCGACTCGTAAGGTGCCGGGCCGGCCCCTGCGGCCCTATCGAGCAATGCAATCTCGCAACACTGGATCGCATCCAAAGAAACTGGCAAAACAATTGTTACACACTCTAACACTTATAAGTATGCAACTCCCACAACTCCCTAGTTTAGGTGTGAAACTCCCCTGTTTTAACCAGGGGTCAACTAAGGAGTTGAAGTCAGTGGGCAACTGCAAGTATTTATCTTGCAAATGGATACTTGGTGTATCAGTGTATTATTACTGGTCATTAGACTTCGTGGATCTATAAAGACAATGCCTTTGACCAGTGCTGCCGTTCTGTACTGCTGATCGTTCACTGTAACTTTATTCTCTGACAATTATTTTAAGAATTCTTATTACGACGCTGTAACGCATTTATGACAAACACGCTTTTCGAACAAGTACCGAGTGTTGCATAAAAGCCACAGGTGCGGACGGGTTTGCCTACCCGATCTGCCCGTAAGGCGCCATAGCCCCTTGGGTAGGCAAACCCGCCCGCACCTGTGTCTTTTATGCAACACCCGGTACACTATAGTGTCTAAAGGCAACTTTCACTCTTAATTGGGGGTACGTGTTTTCAACCACACCGATAAATAAAGTGTTCAACTGCGGCAAGCACCTGCAGATGTGCAACACCGTATTCCATTCTGGCAAGTGTTGAACTGGAAATTTGTATGTTTGCAAGTGTTGGGCGATCTTTCAACACTTTAAAGTGCGCAAATAGCTTTGCTTCACACCCGAGTTGAGCACATTAAAGTGTTCAATTTTTCCGTCCAACACTTGCAAACATTACAAATTTCCAGTTCAACACTTGTCAGTTGCAACACGGTGTTGGACCTGCAGGTGCTTTTCAGTTGAACACTTTATTTATCAGTGCAAACAAGCAGCTTTAAAATCAAAAATATGTATGTTTGGTGGTTGTTGTTTTTTTTCATGTCTCTGATTTTGATTAAATTTTTCTAATGAAATTCGTTTGTATTTGTTACAGTCGCTGGAGAGCACTCGTCGCATGTTGATGCTTTGTGAGGAGGTAAGTTCCTGAGATTTTTTGTGTGTTTCTTTTTGTTTTATCCTGTTTGCAAGGTTACATTATGGGCTAAATAATATTTTAGTCTTTTTGAATATATACATATAATCTTTGAACGCCCATTATTGGAACTGGAATCAGTCAGAAAGATTTATGAAAAGTGTTTGGAAATAATTAATAATTTTTGCTGGTTTACATGACCTTGTCTTGTTTATAGAAGCATTTTTATGATTGTGACTTTAATTCTTGAATCCAAATTTCAGCTATAGTTATTGTGTACCAGGTGATTCAGAGAAGACGCCGGTGCGGGCGTGTTTGCCTATTCACTCTGCCCGTAAGGTGCCATGGCCCCTTAGGTAGGCAAACCCGCTCGCACTTGCGTCTTCTCTGAATTCTTACTGGAAATTCCTCCAAATATTTGTGTTCAACTTCAGCAGTACTCTTACAGCCCCAGCCAACTATAATAGTGTCCAGTGTACTGTTATTGAAATGAAATCATACTAGGTGGCTGACTCACGCCGCGCACTTTCGAAGTTATACTGTACCGCTCGCACGCGGAATGGTGGGTTGCCTACTCACACGGGGCCTTAAGGAGCCGTGGGCAGCGAGGATAGGCAAACCCGCTCGCATTCGTGGCATGCGGTGAAATATAACTACGAAAGTGCGTGGCGTGAGTCAGCCACCTGGTATATGCAGCATTTCTTAGTTTAAGACTGTTACAGGTTTGGGCTTCTTTCAGTACAGTACTGTTGACCTGTTGACTTAAGTGCGTTACTGTTTTCTTTAGGGCTCTTCTGCAATGGCCTTCCCATGGGACTTCGTTTTCATTTTAAAAATGATACACATGCTCTAAACATGCACCTTTAACATTAACAAAAAGATGCAAACAAGTTGCCATTAATATTAATTGTATTTAAACACTTTAAAATTATTCTTGATTTAAAAAAACAACAAAAAGATGATGCAACTTTTAACATGTTTAGTGCCAGCAACTGCTTATATTCTCATTCAGAGGTGACCAGTCTTTTGCATTTCAAAATGTTCCAATTTGTATTTAAAACTCCCTTTTTAGGAACTGCTAAGCTGTGACACATTTTTTCTAGAGCTGACGCCTGGCTGGTGAAACTTCTGAACTTCTGATAATGCATTTTCTCTCCAGTGAATTTTCCAGAGTGTTACATTTTGATAGCTTCTATGTATGTTGTCTTGCAGTTTCCAAATCTTCACTTTGTTTTGGCATGCAACCAATGTTTCTATTTTAAATTTACTTTGATGCTATACTTATAAGTCCATGTGGCAATCTTAACTTTCACTCTTTCCAAAGGTAAGGTTCATTTTAATTTTCCTCATTAAGAAACTGTCACATTTTTCAGAGCTTTCCTAATGCCTATTTTTAGTCAAGCTCTCAAAGAATTTAAAGATGTAGAGAATGTGGACCAGTGTGAACTCATTAAAACAATGGCAAATGTTTCACACTGTTTTATTGTCTTAAATTTTCTTACTTGTCTTAAGAAATTTGATCACATTGCTGAGTTATTTGCTGTCTACTGAATTGTGCTGAAGGCAATTCATCATTATTACATATGATTTGTTTAAACCATGATGTATTTGCCATAGTCTTATGTTCTCTCACCCTGCATACTAGCTTTTGACCATATTCTTATCAGCTGCTTAAACCCTGGACTGTTGAGAGAAGCCTCTCTATAGAGCCTTACAATTTATTTATTTTTTATGAAGCTCTTTTATTCAGTTTAAGATGTGCTCTCAGCTCTAGCGCATTTCATTTCTGCTTCTACCTTGAGAAATTATTATTTCTTGCATACTTGTAAATCAAGTTTTTGTGCAAAACTTAATATGTAGCCTCTTATAAAACTTACTCTGTAAGTGTTTGTTATCTGGCTTTGATGTGCTGCTAATGTGCCTTCTGTGTGTCAGTGTTTTCTTGGCTTTGGTCCTGAGTCACTACTGAAATATTTTAGGTTCAGTAGTTGCTTGGTGTTATGTCAACACTTAATGTGGAACAATTTTTATCATATGCTTTGTGTCATAATAAGACACTTCTTTTTTATCCGTGTCAATACTTAAAAACAAGTCAAATTTGTCACATGGAGTGTTGTCAGGACCTGCATGTACTGAGTGCTCCACATAACTGCATTGTACTCATCACCTCAACCAAATTACTCAGCATATTTTATTTTACTTTAACAACATGAGTATTATGCGCCTTTCTATTCTATTAACTCCACTCGTAGACTTTTTTTGTGTTTTGTTTTGATTTGGTACAACAGTCCTAGCATACATTTTCACTAAATTAATTTTTAAAAACTTAACCATTTTTTTTTGTATTTTTTAAAAACTATTTTTTACCTCTTCCTAGTGGTGATCAGTACTCTGCTCACTCAGACATCTCACGTAACATTTTCACCGTCCAGGTCACTCATCACTAATGCATCACTAACTCTACTAATATTACTTGTTCATCTTCTATCACCAGAATTATTGCCAACATCACTACATCTATAAACATGCTATGGATCTGCAGAACTTCCACTCTCTATCTTCTTCCAACCATGTGTTTCTATTCTGGCTTCTAACATGTATGTGTGTCTTTTGGTGCTGCCCAGAGCAAGGAAGCAGGCATCCGCACATTGGTTGCTCTGGATGATCAGGGAGGTGAGTGATCAGCCTCCCTTTTATTCTCAGTTGCCAGAAACCCATTTCTTTTCAAAACCACCATGTTTTTTTGTTGTTTTTTAAAATCATCATTTATTGTAATAAAACCACAAATCATTTCTCTTTAATAAAATACTACGGCCTGCTCTCAACAACTACATTGCCCCATTTATTGTCTTTTAAAAATCTCATTGGTGGTTTTTTGTCCCTCTTTCAATTTAAGTGCTGTGCAGGCCAGAGCCTGATTTGTTTGCATAAATTAAAGTACAGGAAAAGCACCTTGAACTTGCACTTCAAAGCTTTAAAAAGTGTCTCACATTCCCTTGCACCTCCCTTTATAAACATAAAATGAAAGCACATTTGCATCATACCTTATTCATGTTAATTTGGTGAAATTGCCAGAGGTGTATAACATTCTTGAATATTTAATTTACTATCCTAAAACATTTACTTCACCAGCATGCCACCACAGTCACCCCCTTATCTATAAGTGATTGGACATTTAATTTGAAAGTCATAGTACTGCTTTATTTGTTTACTTGATTTAAGAATTGTGCTAAAATATGTTTTCTTATATGTAAGCAACACACCGTTAGGTCAAATTTTCCAAAATTGTTACAAAAGAGCAATATGTAAAAATCAAGCGTAATGTGTACCATTGTATTTGGCCATTTGCATACAAGAGAAAATTAATAGTACAATGATATAGTATTTTTATCAGTATATATAGTATATATCCATCTCTTTCTTTGTTTTTTCTATATCTAGCCATATTTGTTTGTATGCTAAGGGATTATGTTTCAACTTCCAATTGCCATTTCCACATTTCGTTTCCTCTTGTCCTAGTTATGATTTGGAATCCTAATGAGAAAGCTTTCCATCTATTTCTGTGGGAGCCCTTACACTTATGCTGATGCTGGCAGGACACTGTCAAGGACTGAATACTTCAGCAACACCCTCAATATGGACAGTCTACACTATGACACTCAGCCTTTTCAACTGTCAATAGCTTTCATCTTTATCTTTTTGTGCTTTCCTCAAATTATTGTGTACATAATATAAGATTATTTTTGTCCACTCTTTGCCATACAGATTGTTCTTTTGCTTCTTTGTTATGGGTTTGTTTTCTATTTTGTTTCTATTTGACTACACCTGGATTGTAAGGATTGAGCGTGTTTATCCATGCCACTGCTTTTGGATTTACCTCGTTCAAAAAAAAAAGAAAAGGAAAAATGGAGACAACTATTTAAAACCGTACCTCACATTTTAAATGGCAGACCTGTGACAGTCTACACTGCTGTGCTGCAGAAAGAAAACATGCAGCCTACAAAATTATCAGACAGTACAGATCCTACTATTCTTTTCAAGTTTTTTCAGTAATTTTTCTATTTTTGCACATCAAAATAATTTCAAGGAAACAACAATATCACATCTGCTCACATTGTGAACAGTTTATTTCTGCTTACAATGTGTTTACAATTGGGCCTGCATGAGTCCTAGCTGTACATATTATTTTCTCCTGCTGATCTACTGCCAAGGGAATGGAGAGTAACCAAGGGCCCATTTAATTTTGCCAGACAACACAGTGGCATGGAATAATTTTGCAGTTGTAGCCAATCCAAAATTATTTGTTTTGTGGGTAATTGTATGTGAATATGAGAGTGCTTTTTCAAAGTTGGTCATTAGAGTCATTGTTGGAAGAGGCTCTTTTTAAATTCCTTTTGTTTTCAAATTTTTTCTTTTGTGAGTTTTATTGTGTTTGAGTGTTGTCCAGAAAAACACAAACTGTTGTAGGCCCTTGGGGTAACCAATCCCTTGGTTTTAATCCATTTTCATTTGTTTCTGCTTTTTCTATCCATTGTGTTTATTATCTGTGTTTTTTCCCCCTTGTAGGGGTTATTAGGGTTCTTAAAAGTCTTTTTATTTAAAAAAAAATTTCTGTCTACATATTTTCTTGGAGGAAGAGAGTTACCACTGTGTTATTCTAGTACAGTAACTATTATAATCAGCTTCCTCAAAGAAGAAAAATAAACATGGTGCACCACTACTGTCTCTCTAAAAAAAAAAGCCTTAACACGTTGAGTGCGGTGGGGGTAGGCAATCCTATGTTATTGGGACCCACGGTGTGGGTCACGCCGCACTCAACGTGTTCATGTGTGCGCTCTGTTCAAAGATTTTTCTCCTGTTTGTGTAAAACTTTCCTTAAGTTTTTATTTTTATTTATTATATATTATTGGCATTGATACATATTGTAGGAATAAGTAGACACAAAGTTTAGACGTATTCTAGCAATCTTCTGCATCATGCCTACTTTTTTCTGTTTCAATTGTTGTTTTTATTTTGCACATTTTTCTTTTTTTTCGTTTTTGGTTTTGTTTGAACTTTTAGACCGAAGAAGCGGGAGGAGCTACTTTGCAGATGTTGAATCACCAGGGCGGTAAGAAAATTTGTTTGATTTGGTTAAAATGAATGGTGTTAGTGGCTTTGTGGGCTGCATGACATAATTCTTGATGCAGAATGTACAGGCTACCCTACATTCTAGAATCCTAAAATGTCAAAATTACAAACTGTACTGAAATTGTGGATCAAGAATTATTACGTTATTGCACATGGTGCAAGTAATAATCATTGAAGGCAGCCAAAAACTAATCACCTTTTTCACAAAACTCTTCTGCACCAGTTTCAAGAAAGTTGAATGATGTGTAGCTTCACAGGCCTTCAATATCATTACTCGTGTATTGTGCTTCTACTAAAACAATTTCATGTTATTTTGATTACTGACTTCCTTCATGTCTTCTATTGTATGGATTAGGGAAAATTTGGATGCAGGAAAGCTTTTTACTAACGTGTCTGTGCTGCGGATGTATTGGTATGGCTCATGTGGGAAGGTGGTTTCACAACTGCATGACCAGTCTTGCCTCGCCTGTTTGTTACTACTTTTCAGTGTTTCCTTCTTAGCTTTTATTATTAAAGGTTTTTCATGTTACCTTTTTGTAATAATGTACAAAGGATTCACAAGTGTTTTCACCTGAGAAGTGTTTCTAGTATTTTTGAGTGTCCTAAATCAACATTGTCTCCTTGTGCAGCATTTTATAAATTTCTTTTAATTGTGTAAATTAATAAAATCATAAAATCATAACAAGCACACATGGTTCTCCAGGATATTGTTTATGTAGATTGCTAGACTGACTGGTAAAAACTCTGGTGTTTAATTCAAAAGACCTTTTTCTTTCCCATGTGTATAGATACTGGGGTTTTTGTATCTAATAACTAAAGTGCTAGAATGAACTAAATTTCTAAAAAAAATTGACTTGTGTGTTACTGTTTTGTAGAGCCATGAAGTGGGAATGAGGTCCCTAGTGATGTTGGATGAGCAAGGGGGTAAGATTTGTTAGTCATATTCCTCCCCACCTGCTGTCTTGTCTCTATTGCTGTCTTGTCTCTATTGCCTTTAATGTTGTCCATCTTTTCAATGTCTATTCGTTCTTGATCTTTCTTCAATATTCTTCCCATGCGCTCCCTTTCTGATTATACAGTAGATTGGCTTACATCTATCTTTCCTCTCTTGCACTGCTTTTATTTGTACGTAAACATGATGTGGAATTCAGCAGAGTCTCATACATACTCATGACATACATTTATTTGTATTTCACTTCTTCCTATCACATGTATCAAATCCAGCAGTCAGTGGTAGTATAGACTCAAAAAATAAAACATTCACGGCAAAGTTAATTTCACTTCTACTGTTATGTTTCAATAATGTGTAAAAGTGCTCTTTCTGATAAGTTTTTTTGGAAAGGAAAAATTGATGTATCTCACAAATTTGTACTTATTTCTTCTGACTTCATTCTTCCCAATTATGTAAATACCACTGAAATTAACTGGGTTTGGTACCAAATAATGTCATTTTGCTGTAATTTCACACCACCAGAACAGAGTACACTGGTTATGACCACAATGAAAACAATCTTTTTGAGTGTGCCTCATAGAATATGTCCAAATCCTATTCGTTTCAACATAGTACATGCCAATCTGGTTCCATCATGTCACTTTGCCCTCCCCTTTTTATATATTTTTTTTTCAATTTTCCTGTTATTTTAGAATAAAGGGTCGGTAACCATCTCTACAGGAGCAACAATTACTACTCTATAAATACTCCAAAGAAGAGCTGAACGTTCATTCCACAATTTGCAAAATTTCAGTGTCAACCAAAGTCATCTCCAATTGGTTGATAACTCACCACGCCATGCACCAAACAACTTTGAAAATCATGCCTACAACATAAATCTTAGAGATTTAAATAGTTCAGTTTACAAAATGTACATAGGATTTACAAATGTAGGAGGAAGGAATGAGAAGATAATGTCCTACAAATGCATTCAGAAGACATTCAAGAAGATGTAGGAGACACTAAAGAAGAATAAAGGATTACACAGAAGACTTACCATACCACACAACAGCTGTTGCATGCTTCTTGTCAGTGTGTTGATTTGTGTTTTTACATTTCTATTGGCAAAAAGCTGCATTTTCCTGTCTAGCCATAATGTACTCTTTGTGACTCTAACATTCTATTAATGATTTCCTCAAAATGGAAAGAATCAAAACTCGATAGAGTACAAAATTTGTAACTGTGGTGGGATGCTTTGTAATAGCTTCTAAAATATTAACTTATCTAAATTGATTTTGAGAAATGACATAAAAGTGAGATGGATTTCATTAAAAGTTTGGGAAGGAAATGAAAAGATGTTATAGTTTGTAAAGTTCCTAAAAATTGTTTTGTTGTATAGAGTTTGATCCATCTCACTGACTAACTCTATGCATGCATTTGCTAACACCAGAATGATAATCTTTCAATGACAGTGAACATACATCAAAAATTAGACGCATGAGAAAATCTTCAGGAAGCATGTTTGTCATAAGCTTTTAAATGTGTACAGCAATATATTTTTCTAAGGTAGATGCAGTCAAGTCATTTTTGGACATTAAAAGTTTTAGAGTTCAAGAAACAAACTGCCCACCCACTTGGCAGCTAATTTTGTACATATCCCCCTTAAACTTTTAGTTCTGTCTTGACAAAACTTCATGAACTTTTACTTTTCAACAGAACAACTGGACCGTATTGAGGAAGGAATGGATCAGATCAATGCAGACATGAAGGAAGCTGAAAAAAATTTGACTGGAATGGAGAAGTGTTGTGGTTTATGTGTACTACCTTGTAATAAGTAAGTGCTATACTATAAAGGAAGATAATCTAGATGTTTATATAGTTGAATAATAAAGTAATCCAATTGATTCACATTTGTATTTTTAAAAAATAGGTCTGCATCTTTTAAAGAAGATGAAGGAACCTGGAAAGGAAATGATGATGGCAAAGTTGTGAACAATCAGCCACAGCGAGTCATGGATGACCGCAACGGAATTGGTCCTCAAGCAGGATACATCGCTAAGTAAGTATATGGCACTTCTACATTCTACTAAAAGAAGCACTATTGACTTTAATTGTTATAAAAATATATCTTCCTCCACACAGGATCGCCCCAAATGATGCCAGAGAAGATGAGATGGAGGAAAACATGGGACAGGTGAACACCATGATTGGAAACCTTCGTAATATGGCTCTTGACATGGGATCAGAGCTTGAAAATCAGAACAGGCAGATTGACCGCATCAACCGCAAAGTAAGTTGGTCATCATGTTCCTTGATGTCTGGTATCTGTAATAAGTTTAGAAATAACTGTTTTATTTTCTTTTTCCAGGGGGAGTCTAATGAGACAAGGATAGCAGTTGCTAACCAGCGGGCTCATGATTTACTCAAGTAAATTCTTCCCACAGTACTGGGCAGCAAATTATCTGATCTTTTCATAGAATTTTCAAAATTGATTTAGCTTTAACCAATTAGCCTATTATATTTTGTTAGTCTCTGCTCTGGAAAACAATCTATAATTAATGCAATGAGTGTACTCAAGAAAGCTGTATGATACAGGCTGCCATCAGCTATTTTAGATTTTATTTCATATTATGGGTAAGGTATTGGAGCTGTGTACCTAAAGTAAATGCTGGAGGCATTAGTACTTTTAAACTTTATAAATTTATTTGTATTATTACTCATTATCAAGGAGAATGGTGCTTAAGCATATTGGCAAAAATAACTTCTTCACACCTTCTCATTTTATACTCGTGGTACTTGTCACTTTTTGACAAAGACTTTGAGTGAATGATTTGAGAATGTGATCTCAAATTGATATGATAGGCAATGTAAGTTTAGCAAAATAACTTCATATTTTGAATGTCTTTGTTGCTCTACTGATGGGTTGTCCTGGGGAAGTGACATTAGAGTCGCATTGCAAAAATCTGTCTCGCATCCCAATCCATCAGTGGTTTTTTTCACTCTTAGTGAGTTTTGGTACTGATATTAAAGCAATATAAATTTTGTATGAGTACAAATTTTGTCCCACCATGACAAAACCCTCTTGGTCCTTAGGATCATTTTCTGCTGGAGTTCGGGTGTGGCAAAGGTGACATCTTCCTTAATTTTTGTATAATGAAACTTTTTTTCCTCTCCTGCATGTATACCATATACACATGGGTTAGATATGTGTTACTGGTAACACTGTCATTCAAACACTGTGACATTACATTTAAACAACTGAGAGTCATCTCACAACGGTCAGAATACTGTGTCACATATAGCTATGCATGTCATGCACATAGCCCGTGAGGGAAGAGCACAGGAAAGCTAATTCATGTTCTAACGAATGTGACATGACATTAGAATGTCACACAATGTCAAACAATTCATTTTTTATTGAATGTATCATGATATCATAGTGTTTGAATAGCAGTGAAAGTAAAGGTGTCTGGTAATCTGAAGATTCTCTAGGGAGAGTCTATGCAATCAGCTATTATAGATTTTATTAAACGGGAAAGTCATCCCATGTTCAGGCACAAGGCAGGTTGCATCTTGTGCCGCAAAGTATGTTATTTTTTTATTTTTTTTAATCCTGTTTTGTTATTCATGTATTGAGTCTCCTCAGATAGCACATTCTCTGACTGCCGTTAGGGAATGTTGAACTCATACTAATATTGTCAAGTGAAGGTCAAGGTTTTTATCTTAAAACTAACATCCCCTTGCGCCCAGGTAATCCTGGCTATCCTCAGGGAATCTTAGGATTACCTCACACCCGTACTTTACCTGTAACATGTAGAAACAACAGGCACTTTTTTTTTTCTTTTTTTTAACCTTTACTTAATTTAGGCTTTGTTTGCAATTTTGATGAGCTACTATTTTCAACCCATTGAAAATATTAAAAATTAGTTCTACCCATCAAAGTTTTGTGCATTCCACTTGAAAAATGATGTTTTCTGTATGATATGTTTTTTAAAGGTGTCACATTTTTGACCTTTTGTCATTGACTTTGGCAGTAGGGAAAAGTACCTCGGTAGAGATGCCATTGTTGTTTTCTTCCATTGGTTCAAAATGGTCAAAAAATTTATTAACGACTATTGAAAGGCCCCAAATATATTCTAAAGAAAAGGCTTTGGCATGGCACAGCTCTAAGCCAATTAACTATTGCCACCTACTTTGTCAAACCACTTACAAATATAATTTTAAATCTGAAAGAAAACATTTAGGTAAGCTTGTGTTTCCATGACTGTGCTTTAATTATGTATCTTCTCTGGTATAAAAGAATTGTTTCCATCTTATATGGGTATCAGTTGCATTCAATACATCTGTCAATGTAGCTATCAAAGTTGACCAAAGCAAAGTGCCTTTGAAGAAGCAGTTCGTTCTGAGCAATCGATTGTGTTGAGGTGTGCTCCCCTGTGTGCCTGTCAAGCAAACATTTCCCTATATTGTCTCAACTATCAGAACTCTTTATTTTTTATCTTTTTTGTTATCATGTTTTGGTGTATTATTGTTATGTTGCTGTTTTCAATTTGGACATTGGCTATCCAGGAGGAGAAACTTAAAATGATTGCAGGTTAAAAGTCAATTTGTACATGGAGTAAATGTTTTCACTCCTCTACTAATTATCACATTTCCTAATCATTGCGAGGTATTTCATGTACCACTTAACGAAAGTTTTGCTTTACTCCTTCTGTATACAATCAGCAGTTGTCCACATTTCCCTATCATATTCTAGTTGCCCGGCTATTTTTTATTCATTTCGATTTTGTTCTAATTGTATTGTCAGGTATTGCCGTAATTTATTGAAGTTTAAAAAAATATTTTATAATAATGTGTTTTATCTTGTTATTGTCTACTTTTAACATGGGAAGAGATAATACATAATTAAAATAAGCATGTTATCCATTCTTTAGCAAGCTGTGATAGGTTTCAATTGTTTCAATATGAATTAAAATCAAAAAGTGGATTTGGTGGCTGACATTCAATCTCTTTCCTCTTCATCTCTTTCATGTGTTTTGGGTCAATCGGTTGCTTTTTTTTCTGTTCTATATCTTTAAGACTTTTTCTTTTGGTGGTTATTGGGCAATCCACTCTACTCTTTCAACTTTTAGTTGTTACTTATTTCTTATCTGTGGTAATTGCATTTCATTGGCCACCAGCACTCTATATTGAATGTTTGACTGTGAACTCTTCATATCTCTCAAAATTGCATGTATATCACAGTGAAAAATTAAATTTGTCTTTGAACATAATAAGGAATATTTTCACAAAGTATTGCAGCAGGTAGTGGTAGTAATTTTGAGAAATTTCCCTGTTTAAAGGGACAGTTACAGTTGGCTGCCTATGATTGCGCCTCAACAAAAGCAATTTTTTTCATTAATGTGAGTTGAAGTTGTTGAAAGCTTTAAGAGTTGTTTTAAGAAGTATTATTTAGGAGGGAGGACGGGGAGGCCTGGATTATTTTTGCTTATATTCCTTTTCCAATAGAGGATTTATTCATACAAATTTTTCCATCTATCTATCGTTATAATGAAATTAACTCCCATGAATGTCCTGTTCAAAGTTCACAGTTTTAACTAGTTTGAACAACGCATTCAAAAGTGAAATGTATTGACAAGATACTCCCCGTGATATTTCCTAGTACTTATGTTCCCTTCACCTAATTCAAAATAACAAACTCCTGTGTTTTGTATGTTGGGTAGCCTTTGAGATTAATAAACTTAACTATTATGCATGGATAGAGTTATATTACAAAGTGTGAAGTGCAAACCACAAAACATTTGTTATCTGCTAAAAAAGTGACTTACCCATTTTACTGCACTTAATTACACAGCAGAGTATTAAATTCTTTATAATATAATCTATTTGAAGAGGACGGGAGATTATTTAGTACGGTATGTGATAAGTTTGGCATCCAATATGAATTCTTGTAGTTGCATAAAAGTCGATAGAAGTATGAGTTCACTGAAGTGCACACCTTGTGCCAAATTATACCTGTGAGCGTAAGAGGTGATCAATTCCGTTCAGTATTGTAACATACATAATATAATTGGTTGTGCTCGTACTAACATTCACAATTAGTAGAGCAAAGATAATCAAGGTGCTAGAACTGATTCTAATTGAAACATCTTGGCTTGCATCTTATGTTGTGTCCCTTTATGCCAGTGCTTCTTTCATTAGTAAATATGTCTTCAAAGTCCTTTGTTTTCTTTAAGTTATGTTTTCCTTTTGTTTTTTTTAAAGCATTACCTACAGAGAAAGGGGATAGGGAAGGTGAAGACCAAGAAAAAGTAAAAAGTAGGTATGATTGCTGAATTATTTGTCCATATAATTATCCACTTTTGCGAGACTTAAAAGGAATAAATCTGTTGTAGGTCTTGTTTATGACAATGTTAGATGGCTACACAGATATGTGCATGGGCCCAGGAGAACCTAGTTATTTAACTAATTATAGTAAAGATGATGTGATGCTATCCCAAGCACAACATTGCTGTTGGCTTCAACTTTACCACAGCAAGTGCAATAACCACGTTGTTAAGTTTTGTGGCTGTTGATTGTTTATTGAGAGACTTTTATATAAACATGACCTATGCTTAGGAACACCTCAAATTAATAACATTCTTTAATTTGATGATTTCTTTCCATGTGATATTGGAACTTTGATGAGTTTTGTGTAAAGCATCATATAAACACCTTGTGAATCCCCATAATCTCTCTTAAATTACACTTAGAAAGTAAATCATATCTTCACTTTTATGTTTTCCCAAATTAACCACTCTCCTTCATCCAAATTCTTTAAATGATATACCTTCATTCCCTTGCCCCTTTTCCGCTGAAGAGTTTGATCTTATCTTCTTCTACTTCTTTACAGTGATGTATTCTACCTTAACTTTATCATTTAGATTTTCAAGAAACAACCTTTCTCTAAAATGCAAATGATACTTGCTATGATGTGTGCAAAAGTGGGCTTCCTCTTGAAACTTATGTGGACTTAAAACTAAAGATTATTTGCTCATGAATGCTGAAGAATCTATCATTTGAAGTTTTGCTTGTCATTGCTTTTTAAATCAGTGGAACAATTGCAGTGAAGGAATTTGCATATTTCATTTCAGCTATACACAAAATATATTGTTCTAGTCTCTTCAGCAGTGTGCTCTCGTACTATATACATAAGTTTGAAAACCAAAAAAAAAACAAAAGAAAAAAAAGAAACCTTTAATAATTCAGTATGCAGATCGGAACTTACTTTTCGAAAGATATCTTCATCAACTTCATAAACTTTAGTGTTACTAACTATACCGATTTATTTTATAAATCCTTCGTGTTACTTGAAGAGACACGTGTTAGCAAGCTGGACAATTTTTATTATTTCTCATCTCTTTTTCTTGTACCATATCAAAATCAGTACTTAATATAGTTTTATAGCTCACCACTTTCTGTATACTTTTGAGCCTCAATAAACAAGTATCATAATGTTTGACTCATATTATTTACTTCATCCTTTAATTTGGCACATGCTGATACATGCAATTTCAACTTCATGAGCGTTGTCACACGTATAAGTGTTAGAAGTTAGAGTAACACTTAAAAGTGTAATACTTAGTATAGAAGAGTAACACTTTTTCGGCGCATTGATTCAGCGTAATGCGGCGTGGCCTATCTACTGGGCGCCTCCTCTGGCCTCAGCCAAACCGTCGAACAAAATCCACCAATCTCGAGACATACAACAATATTTATTGTCATTATTATTATTAAAAATTAAAACACGCTAAATGCCAACAAAAATCTTTAAGAAACACCGAACACCGGGCCATTCAATGATTCAATCATTCGAAACTTCCACCTTGCTCTCAATATTTTTCATACCCACTACCCACTTTCTTCTCCTTCTTCCTCTCCCTCCGCCCCCCCCCCCCTTTCCCCGGTTGAGGAGAGGTGGGTGACGGTTATTTACGTCGTTCGCGTTTGTTGATATTTCGGCTGTGGTTTAGGCCTCGTCTCTGATTTTAGCTTTGTTTGGCACGGCCCCCGCACAGGCGGACGTCTTTGACAACAACCCCAGCACCTCACAAACTTAGCTGGTCATATATACGTTCATTATTACTAAATAGATGAAACATGAATTAAATATATATGAAAGCAATATTAGTCAACAACTTAGGTTAGATTATTTGAGCAATCTTTTTGGGTTATGATAGATTCAGCTTTACATTTAAAGTGACCTGTGATTGTTTTAGGAACATGGGTGATCATGTGGAAAAAGATAGACATACCCCTATCATGGGGCTGTCCGGATCAAAAGCGATTCCTGGAATACTTGAAAGCGAAAGATTCTATGGAGTACACATACCAAACATAAGTCATGATGGTAAGTTTGTTTTTCTGCCGGTATGACAGGCGAAACAACAAAACACTAACAATCATAATGATGTGTTGTTTTTCTGATATTTCACATCTTGTTTTGTTTTCTTACATGACATTTTATAAATTGCTTAATTTCAAATATTGATATCAATTTTCAGACTTCTTGCATGTATATGAGGATAAAACAGAGGCGATGAAGGTTGTCAAGCACCATAAAAAGTCAAGATTTAAAGCTTTTAAACTGAGATCGGATGCTGTTGCGTTTGCTGTTCATGGTTCTGATTGTACTGTGCAAGAGGAGGGTGTCAGTACAAACAATACTCCTTCTCAGAATGATGCTGAGAAACCTAGTCCTTTCAAAGGTCCAAAATCACAAGATATGGTACAGTTACGTAGAGCCATTGAAAGTGGGAATTTTGAACTAGTTTCTAAAACGGTATGGGATAATCCCCGTTTCCTCATAAGTAGTGGAGATACTCCATCCATTTTACAGGTACTAACTTATTTTAGACATTGCTATTTAATACTCATGGTATTTTATTTTTTAATATGGTTATTGCTGTAAATTTATGTTTGCTGTTTCATTCTAAATAGGAAGGTTCGAGATATAATGCTCTGCATGTTGCTGCTAAAAGCAAAAATGCAGCTATGGCAGATTTAATTTTACAAACAGTGGGAAATCCATCATTTCTACAATTGTTGTATGGAGATGAAACTGTGCCCTATGGAAAATTAAGCTCAGCTGCTGAACGATCAACTATTCTTCTAGACCTTTATTTGAATACTCCTGATAAAGGCATGCATGAAACTCCATTGCATTTTGCATCAAAGTTTGGGGCTTTGTTAGTAGTCTCAACATTAGTATCATATTCTGAATGTGATAGAGAAACAAAAAATAAATTTGGTCAAAGACCCATTGATGTAAGTAAATTCATACCATGAATATTTCACTGTCAGTTGTTTTGAAGTTGTAGGTTCTAGCAGATTCAGAAAATTAGGACTAGTTTTGGAAAGAAAATTGAGTGATTACTAGCTTGTGCTATCAAAATTTATTGCAAACACAAATCAGCAGAACTGAATTCTGAATGTGCTGCCCTTTCAACTGCTAAGTCCCTGGATCCATTTATAAGTCGACTTACTGTCAACTTGGGTCAGTGTTAGCTGTTGTCTGCAATCATCTTATAATACTAGAGACAATGCAACCAGCCTTTTCACAATCTGCTGTGTTACACAGTGTTCAAAGTTTTAAAAGATTAATGAAAATGAAATTAATTTGCAAAGTATAAAAGTTCAGGTTTACAGGGTCATTAGAACTTACACAATGTGTTTTTCTGTTAACCCAAGTAATTGTGTTTCCTCTCCTCTTAAGATTGTATGTGCAAGGTGTCCCAATGCCTGTGAAGAACTAAAATCTGAAATAACTTCTCTTCTTCAAAATGATTATTATGTGCCGGTACTTAGAGCTGAAGACAATACTCTGCAGCCAATAATTGGAACACCATTTTCACCCAAAGATCCCCCAGTAAGATTTGGTTATTTGTAACACCTTCAGTTCATGAAAAATGTATACAATTATTCTAATTTATTTTATTATTCTTCCATACGAAGATTTTAAATGGGGATCCTTTGAGCCCACGTCTCGAAATCCACGCATTTGCCGGTCCTATGAGCCAATCTGAAGCCACAGAATTTCATCGTCTCTGGCGGACTCCTCAAAGAGTCAAGGGAAATTCATCAAGTGCTTTTGAACCAAAAAGCTGCCCATCAACCTTTCGTCTCCAAGATACTCAAAAGGGACTTGAAAGAGTGGGTCGGTATGTCTCAAAATCATAATAGATGCAATTCCATTGTAAATCAAGTGCGATAAATGTGTAATTTGGTCCAATTGATCCATGTCCTACACATAGTGGTTCAAGTAAATTTCTTCTTTTTCCAGGGATCTTGCTGCTGTTCATTCTGTTCCTTGGAAAGAATATTGGCCATTCCTTAATACATTCACGGATTTGTCATCTAATGAAGGTCTTGCTTTATTAGAAGAGTATCTTGCCAAGCGTTACCAAATTGTGCAAAATGTGGTATGTTTCAGTAAAAGTTCATATTATTTCCATTTTTATCTTTGTACACTGTACTGACATTTACACCTCTAGCTTTTAGACCCTGGTGCCAGCAATACTTCAAAAGTGTCATCTTCACCAGAGAACTCAATTCACGGGATTGGTGAAAACCGCTCACTTGATGAAACAGACACTGAGCCTGAAATCTTGAGTCCTGTTACTCAATTGTGCTCAATGATGAACGCTTGTACAATTTTGGATGATTCAGTAGGCTCTGGTCTTGGTCGTGGCTCTCCCTTTACATTATCTCCTTCCCCTTCACACTCTCCAACTACATCGCCCTCAAATGGAAGTATATTGTCATCCTCTGCCCGTTTCTTTGATTGGCTTAGCAGGAAACGTCCAGAAATTGATAAGTAAGTTTATGGCTTGATACTTCTGTCTCTTACTTCTTCGTCACTCACTCAGTGAGACCAAACCGAGTTTTATATGAAAATATAACACCACGTAATGATACTATTAGCTGTATCTTTCTTCTTCACAGAAAAGCATCTGAGAACAGTCAAAATGAGGCAATCCTTTCAGCCTTGTCTAACCCCACAGTCAGCCCTTTTCTTTATGTTGAAAAATCTTTACAGCTATTTGCAAAACGAATTGCAGCTAGTTTACATCATGTAGTAACAGGAAATACCTCTCATAATTTGAGTGATTCTATCAGAGATGTTTTAAAACCAGAAGTCAAAAGAGTTCAGGTCAGTTAATTGAAGATCTTCCTCGTTCTCTTTCCATATGCTTTTCTTTTTAAACACAGCTATCTATTTATTACAGAGTCTTGTAAGTAGTTACCTGCAGGATGCTCGGTTTGTAGCTGTAGATTATCATCTAGTTCATTCAAGAATAGCCAGCAGTGTTGCAGAGAGATTAGTTGATCAGCTTACATGGGAAGAAAGAGAAGTTTTTTACAATAGTCTTCAGGTAGGTGTATTTGAACTGAGGGTTGCCACAAGTCAGGGAAGTGAGGGAAATATCAGGAAAATACAAGTGTTTCAGGGAAGTCAGGAAAATGTAAGGGAATCAAACGCTGTGTCTGGGGAAAACGGCAGTTGGCAATTTTTCTGGTTTACTTGCCAAGGGGTTCTTGAGAGTTTTGTGATGTGGATCTGCAATTCCATTTGGGCTGCTTTTCCTTATTTCCTCACCGAGGCGTATTTTGTGGGATATTGTCAGGGAAATGTTGGGGAATTTCAATCGTGGCAACCCTGTAACTGAACAGGTACTTAAATAAATGCCAATTGTTTTTGAGATCAAATTAACGTCATTTACTTTTATTTTTAGGACATGCTTTCCTCAAAAGGACACCTTGATGGTACTCTCTCTTCAGATGATGATGACTCTGTTCCATCTAATACCTCATACCGCCAACCAAGATCATCAAGGCACATTCATAATTCCAATCAAAAGACAGCCATCCGTTGCATCATTTGTCAGATGGTGTGGGCTTTAGACCAGTTACAAGGAAGTGGCCCGGATGGCCGATCTCCTTTACCAGTAAGTTTCCATATTTTTCATATCTCTGTTATTGATATGCTGTGAACCTGCTAAGATCATTTTTTCTTTTCCAGCCTCGTCCTCAAGTTCGTACCGAGAGTGAGTGCTTAGAAATGTGGTCTGATGCATATCTTTGTCTTTGCTCATGGCCTGCACACAACCAAAGCAATTTCTCAAGAGGCTCTCGAAAGTCCTCATCAATGAAACGATCAATAAACAATTCCCAGAGCCCTGATAGCCAAAATGTATCCCGTCGACTAGAGTATGATTGTAAAGATGGTAAGATTAAATGTGGTTTGCTGAAAGTGTACCATCACATCAAGTATGCTCTTGTTTTAAATTGCACACACACTGTTTACCCTTAATATTCCCCCTAACCAAATTAATTCTTATTTTACTTAGACTTAATCGATGGGGATCTTAAGCAGTGTAGTATGGACACTCTCTCTGGTATGTCTTAAGTATGAAAGAATGTGTGAGTGTAGGTTTTGTTAAATCTGTGTCCCAAAGCAATATGTTTTTCGTTCAGATGGTGAAGACGAATTGGACACATTTTTTACTCCTCCATCATCTCCAAGAGGAAGTCCTGTTCCTGAAGAAGAATCTGATTCTGATGAGGATGAGATGAATGATCCTGAAGAGGGTCCGACTGTATTCATTGAAGGGTCAGTTATGATTTCAATAGTGTAGAATGTTCACTAAATAATCAATCTGTTAAGCCAACCTTACAGTTTTCTTACCTATAATTATGTGCTATCAAATAATGTTCAATTCAAAGGCATTTTATCTTATTTTCTAAATTATTTTCTCAGCAATACACCGTCTCACTTTGATGCAGATGTGTTAAATGCAATAAGCTTTTGTGACATCAACCAATCTGTCTATCCTCACGTTTATCGTTGGAGGCATGATATCTCACTTTACCCTCTAGAAGAGCGAAAGAAGTAAGTAACTGTTTGTCTTGGAATTTTCAATATTTTTGGTTTCTGGTTGTTACATTTTCTTATTGTTACAGATGGAAAGCTCGAAAGACTGATTGCCTCTCCGAATCTCCCTCATCTAACTGTTTGCCCAAAACATCAAACTTAACGAGTACACCTGTACGCTCGGTGAAGGTAGACCTACTACCAACCACACCATCTTGGTCTCGAATCACTGGGTCCTATTCTCCTCTTTTAATCAAAAGTTGTAAGAAGGCATAAACGTGCGGGAAATGCAAATTGCATCAAGTATTTTATGATTGTTTTATGGATTTTATGTCTAAGAAAAATGAGAGTCTCTCTTTCTTATGTTAAAAGCGTTTTATTTTGGATAATTCAATACAATGCCTCATTGGACTTAATTGAGAATTGCATGAAAATCAGACCTAACTTTTGTAAATGTAGAATGTAGTAGAGGGGCAAGCATTTTTAAACCTGCTGATTCTTAGTTCAGGTTCTAAAATCCTTAAACTATGACAGTTACTTGGATGCCAAAAGGATTGGAAAAGTTTCCCTCTACTGTAATTATTATTGTGCAGGCCTGATATAAGCCCCCCCCCCCCCCTTTTTTGTTTCCCAAAAATTTGTCAATGAGAAAAAAAGGGGGGGATATGCCCAATTTACTTTTCCCACAAAAAACATTAAACACAGTTCTATTAACATCATCTTCTATTATGTAATTGTTCATTAAGTGCTCTTGTCACTTTGGAATATTTATATATTCCTTTATGATGTTCTGTTTTATAGCAGGTTTCTTCTCCCTGATGTACTTACATATTGTAAATATATAGTATTGTATTCTAAGCATTAAAAAGGAAACATTGCTAAATACTGCTGTATTTATGTAAAATGAAGCAGGACTTCTTTAGTACAATCAAAAAGAGTTCTTTATTAAAATCAGAAAGAGTTCTTAGTACCTGTGGCACCTCATTCTCGTTATGTTAGTTGTTTGTAGAAAGTTTTGTAACCTAAATATTTAGCCAATAACTGTACAGTTTCTACCTGTTAGCATTGGTTGTGAATGTAGAGAGAAAATTTCTGAAAAATATTGAATATTGTATGCACTTTAAGCTGTGATAACAATATTGCGGGCACAACCTCTGGACTGTATTAATTATGTATATAAAACACTTGATTTGTTAATTTTTCCACTGGTAATGGTGTGTAAGAATTTTATCCTTGAGGCATTTTATCTCATAGTCTGGACTGAAATAGTTGCTAGAGTGTGATGCTTTGGAAGTTGAATAGATCTTTAAGGGAAGTCGGCGGGCTAATAATTGCTAGGAGCTTCAGCCTTCTATAGCCATGTTATTTGTGCGTGGGTTCCCTCGTTTTGTACTAAATTATTTGTTAGTTTAGTTTGTAAGGTTTGTGTACTGATCTTAACCCTGCAAATCAGAGAAAACCTTCTCTATGTTTCATTTCTTCATGATACAATTTGTCACCATTTTCATAATTGAAGTGGGTAAAGACTGGTGATACCTTAGCTCTACAAACTTAAAATTATATTTTCATAGCAAGTCACTTCTATATTTGTCATTACCCTAAAATTCCTGTGATATTCTGAATAAAATTCATTAAACATTACATATTCTTCCTTCTAACCTGCTGTCTTTTTATATATATTTTACAGCAAAAGCTCGGAGAAGGGCAAATCCGGGGTTTGACCGGTCAACAACCGGTTTTACCAAGGCGTTTTTGTTTTTTTTTAACTGTCTCTTGGTCTGTGTCTTTGTATCCCTCTATACCAAGATAATATTTGACTGCTTTGATACTGTGATAGTTGGCACACAATTCTGATTTTGAAAATTTGGACTTAGGGAAAGAAATTAAACAATTCATACTATCTGTGAAACTTATTTGATTCCTTTCTTAATCAATACACTTGGGAATGCGTTGTGTACAGCAATCTCAATACAATAAGCTACATTGCATCAGATTAGACTTTAAACCAGGTACATTGCTCTTTTGCTTATACTATGCGTTCAACTAAGCCACAACTTATAATGAATACAACTCAACAGTACAAATGTGTTTGAGGTATTTACAATTCGAAATAAGCTTTTATACAAAACTACTGTTTCCACTGATCAAGAAGTTGAGTCTTATCCCGACCTTTCACAGTCCATTCAGTGCAAAAAGAACACTATTATGTTTCCTCTCTGACAATCTTTATTCCTGATTTTACTTTTTAACATAAGAACTATGTATGCATTCTAGTCATGACAGCAAGATGTTAATTTTGATAAGTGCCAAACAGCAACATCAAAAAATAAAAGAAAGAGAGAAAAAAAAATACAAACATACCAATATGAAAATATTTTATTATTCCGAAACATGGCTGTTGTATGAAATCCTGCTTCTATTAGTCATCTTTGCTTGAGTACAAGATTACTCCAGCAACTACTAATAACAGAAGCATAAATTCTGATGAATAGATATTAAAAAAAAAAAAAAAGAACTATTAGGAAAGGACCAGGCAATTTGCAATTACAACACCCTTACCTATAATACAAAGACATTACTACGTACTCACCAAAGCCACAAGGTCAATTTCAAAAGAGTCTCATTGACATATATGGCTTTGATAAAATTATATTTCAGTGGATGTATCAAATTGAATGGGAAAGGAGACATGCCTTTACTGAATGGGATCTATTGATAACCTTTCAAAACAAAAGGACATAAGAAGGTTCAATTAAAACAACGGCACCCACTTACAGTTCCTTCCTGGAGGAATGTGCGACTCAGTGATTCACCAGGATCACTTTCTAGTCCATTTAAATAAAATTACAAAAACTATATATATATATTTATATATAAAAAGGGATGAGCACAGCACAGCATCACGCTCCTAACATTAATTCTCATACATGCACTCACTCAATAAATAAGCTCCAACAGGCTGTTTACAGATAATCTGCTGGATTTGCTATCAAGGAAATTTGATTGTTCTGCAACACTGCTTATCAAACATATTACTCAGCCATTTGTGACATGTGCAATTGTTTTAGAAATAGTCAATCACATAGCAATAAATATTTACAGCCATCTTCCTCTATTCATTGTTTTGGCTAACTATAAAGCAGGTACCACAGTGTTAATCTTTTATGACACCTCAAAGGTACAAAACAGAATCATGGTTAAGTAATAAAGAAACAAAAAACAGCCTTCCAAATGTGATTCTTCCAATAGGAGTGGGTCAAGACTCAGTGAATACAAAAACATGTGCCTAAATTTTGGGGAAGCACACCCGAATGTTAAAATGAGTGAAGTTTTAGTCAAACCCAGTAACAGAGCAGTAGGCCAAACATTCGTTTTTTTTTAAATTAGTCTCCATTGATTGTAAAATGAAATACTAAACACAATGTAAGTGAAAAATTTTCTACGAATCAAATACATGACCCCATCGCGGCACAAGCCCATCCACTAAGTTTGTCTTACACAATAATTTCCCAAACAACAATATCATGGTAACCATCATGAAAATTTCATCACATACACTGGCTGAAAATGATGTGATGCAGGGTTTAGACTGGCATCGATTGTCATTTATTGGATACGTTCCAGTTGGAAATCAGCCAATGAGAGGCCTCGAAAACCCACTAGAACGTATCCAATAAATGACAATCGATGCCAGTCTAAACCCTGCATAAGATAAATATTGATGTCAAAGTTGTGCTCCACTTATCACTTTCCCATGTTAACACAGTTTTTAAAGAATAACCTATTGTTTCAAGGGAGGGAGAAACTGTATCACTCATATGAGGAGAAAGAGGAAATACCTGCAATAAATACAATTGGCAGCCTGATTTTAAATTTACCTTCTACGCTACGATCCTTAACAGCGGTAACTTTAACAACCCTACAAAAGAAATCAAGCTACTTGGGAAGACATCAATCTACCTTTTTCCAATGTACAAAAGCACACATACAGAAAATGAAAATTAACAGCAGTCTTCAAAGGCAGCACCATTCATCCAGCTGCCTTCCTATTTCTAGGAGTAAACAGACTAATTGACATGACATTTAACTGTTGGAGCAATATCGTTGTATGGTTAACACTGCGCCCTGCGCTGTGCCCCATAAACTGAGTACCCAGCCATCACAGTGTTAAAAATGTTCAACTCAAAAAACAAACAAAAAAAGGCGGACGGGGACTGATTATAGAAATAGAATCTGCCTAGAAAAAAATTGAAGTCAAGAAAAAATTAATCACATTTTAAAACATTATTGCTTTCAAAATGTTTCAAAATTTGTTTGACCAAAACTTTCAATATGAAAATTCACCACCACTAACACACTTGAAGAACAATAACTGACATCTAAACAAAATTCTCAATCCAAATTTTGTAAACTGATCACAAGACATTTCAGTGTCTTTCAAAAGAGGGGGAAGTGGGAACAACTAAATAAAATCAACAATAATAACTCCCCAAAATTAGAAGTTGACATCACTGTTGAAAGGAGGAGGGTTGCTCAATACATATTCCAAAAACTGACTATATTATCAGTCCAGCTATCAATATGACAGCCCATTGGTATAATTGTTTACAATAAGTTATTCTGAAGACACCCACAGAAAGCAATCCTGAGATTATTTTCACAAAGAGCATATGCATGTCCTTTAATTTGAATGCTTCACTGTGGAGTTGGGAATTGTTGCATGGCAGCATACATCATCGCTGGTGGCTGCAAAGGGGCTTGTCCCGCCATTACTTGTTGAGTTGTTACAGCTGCAGCTGCAGCCGCAGCTGCTGCAGGTTGTCCGGGGATCGTCTGCCATGGGACTTGTAATCCCATTCTCTGCACATATGCTTGAGGGTAACTGAATTGACCATAAGTAGCAGTATAGCTGGGCTGCATACTTTGCAAATACTGACTACCACCAGCTGTTGGATAAGACTGAGGATACCAGTAGCCCATTTGTTGTCCATAGGCATAAGGATACTGCCCGGTTGCAGCAGTGGCTGTCTGCGGCTGCTGAGTTTGAGGTTGTGCTGCAGTTGGCTGGGTTGCTGCAGGAACTCCTGGTTGGGGAGGATTGTTAGGATCTCCCGACTCTTTACCCCAGAAACATTTAACAGTTTGGCCATTAATATCAGTATTATGTACTGATTCAATAGCAAGAGTGGCAGCCTCTTTGGTTGCATATCTGATAAATGCATAGCCTTTATCCTTAAACACACGTATGTCTTGAATGGCACCAAAAGGTGTAAAGGTCTTTTGAATTATCTCTTCACTAATACCACTTGTAAACCCTCCACAGTAAACTGTACAATTTGTTGGGCTGGACTGGTTGTAAACCTCATCATACGTTGCTTGTTTTCCTGTGCCAGGATGACGAGGTCTTTCGGTACGTGGAGGGGGAGGTTTTCTAGTTGACCAGTTGGTACGAATACTGCGGCTTCCTAACCACTGGCCATTCATAGCTTGAATAGCACTTTCTGCTTCTGCCTTCTTCACAAATGACACAAATGCATAGCCTTTCGATTTGAGAGTTTGAGGGTCTCGAACAATTCTGCAGTTTGAGATCTCTCCAAAAGGTGCAAATGCTTCTCGTAGTGTGTGTGTTTCGATTTCAGGGCTCAAATCTCCAACAAATATGTGATGGTGATTGCTGGTGTCTTGTTTAGGCTGGTTGCCGGGGGATGTGGCCCAATTTACCTTGATCTCTTTCTCCAAGAACAGTCGCTTGTTCATCACAGCTAAGGCCGTCGCCGCCGCTTGGTGGTTGGTAAATTCGACAAAAGCGTATGGGTCATTTCCTTGCTCGCGTATGATCTTGCAGCCCTTAACAGGTCCTATTTGGGAGAATAATGTACATAGAAGATCTTCTGACACAGACGTATGCAGGTTTCCGACGTACAAGGTTCTGGGCTGGCTTTCGTCCGTCATGTTGCTATTCACACTAGGTCCGAATACGGGGACCCGGCCGTCAAGAACACCACTTTTTGAATCGGCAAATAGATTTTCAACACGTCTTTCTGTGAAACACTACACTTCGGCTGTCTACCTTACTTGAACAACGAAATGAACGCTCTATTTCACTTGTTGTCTGTTTGGTGGGTGCGTTCAGTCGTTCAAGTATTTAGGCAAAGTCGCAAGTAACGTCACGACTTTGCTTTGCACGCCATTTTGCTAAGAAGAAGAAAAGAAGCAGGGATGTTATAGCGTACGATATTATCGTACGCGTACGATAATTTCGACCCTCCGTACGATGTACGATCGTGACCCATGATCGTACGCCAAATGTACGATAATTTCGGTTTGGACCAATTTTACCCTATAATTGCCTATATATGGCTCTCGTAAGGTGCTGAATCTCCATCAGTTTGAATAAAATTCCATTTGCCGCGCGCAAGCTCGCCCCCCTCCACCCCTCAGCAACAACTCCGCGAGAGAGAAGCATACCTAGCGAAGAGAGAGAAGGAGGGAGAGGGACGAGGGACAGCGGGTGAAGGAGGGGGGAGTCTGGTGCCCAGTCCCCACCACCGCTTTGTAGCCAACCTCTGAGTGAGAAACGCAGCCTCAAAACCTTATTTTCTCTTTAACTAGCGACCTTTTAGCTACATAGAAACACTTATAATACTGTTAAAATGTAAATTTTCCTTTATTTGGGCGAAAATTGTAATTTTTTTGAAATGTACGATAATTTTGACCCTGCGTACGATAATTTCGGAAAGTTGGTACGATAATACGCTGGGAGCCGTCTAACATCCCTGAAAAGAAGTGAAGGCTGCGGCGGCTTGAGGATTGGCTAGAAGGCGTCTCTGGGTGGGATGGGAAATAAACGCTGAACACTTTTAATTGTGAACGTACGCAATTTAATATTCTAAGCACTATTTCCAATTATGCTCATTGCCTTTTGGTAAGTTGTAACGTCTCATTTTTGTTCGAATTTTAGAATCAGTAGTCATGTTCTCATGACTTTGTTTCTACTTCTTCAATGACACACATCAATCCATTGCAGTATTTCAGCAGTTTTGATGTTTTGGGTGTTTGTCTGTCTGCCAAATTTATGATATATGCCCTTTTAACATCCAGGAATATCGAACATGTCATCTTCTAGTGATTCTGATGAATTTTACGATGCAGAGGATGGAACACCAAGTAAAAGTACAAGGTTGGTGATGTCTTTATTCATTTCGGAATACCATGATCCTCTGACTGATAGTTTGCCGAATATTTGTTATCTCACCCTTAACAAACATTTTTCTTAATTGTGTACCAATTCAATCTTTAAGTTACAGACTAGTTAAAAATTATAATTAATCCAATTTACAGTTCTATTCACAAATATATTTACTATCTGACTCTTTCTGTGCGCAGATTTCTAAATCACTGCCAGCTTTTTTTTTACAATTAATAGGTACTGTGTTTCACCCTAATTATGATACTTTTGTGTTTCCAGAAGAAGTCGCTCTATTAAGCGAGGCTTACTGCCCCCTTCTTTAGAAAAAGATGTGAACTCTTCTGTGAAGGAATCCAGTGACCTCGATGAAACTTTAATTCCTGCAACTTCAATAAATCCTTCCCCAGTGGCTGTTGTCCAGTCTTCTAAAGACAATATACCTGAAAATGTTGGTAGTATGATAAGTTTTGTCTCATTTACCTAAACTTTCTATCTTGCCAACAACTATTTTGCTTTTTTCTAGGTGGGTGGTCAAAAGAAGGGTGCTGATAACTGGCAGGGTCGGAGACGATTCAGAGAACTTCGTCAAAGAATGCAGACTGAAGAAGAAGATGCTGTAGGATCTCCTCCTGATAGTCAGACTTCCTCTGTGGAGGGTATATTTGCTGTACCTCAAGCAGGAGGTGCATCTGTTGGAGGTTCATCATCTGGCACCAAAGCTTCTCACCCATTCAGAATCATTGAACATGATGCTCTTAGTCTTCAAAGTTTGACCTCATTGGGCAGAGTTGGTAGAATTCTTGGTGGAGTGCAGGACACCACTAGCTCCAGCAGTGGGCGAGTGGAACAATTAACATCAACAAGCTCTAGCAGCACCCTTGGTGGAGATCTAAAGGAAGAGGAGGAAGAAGAATCTTCTGCACCTGTCACCGCTCCAACTAGTCCTGCAACTACCTCACCTACTACATCTTCTACACCAACCACTTCAGCCAGCACAGCTCCATCATCTCCTTCCCATTATTCCAAGAGTGTTTTTCAGGAGCCTGACGTCATTGCTAGTACTAAGAATTCCATGGGTAATGGGACCCCTCCTCTTTGCTCTGAAGCTCCAGTAGCGCCCCCAAGACGGAAAAAGAAAAATAAAGGTCAGATTGCTGCCTCTCCCTCTGCTACTTTGATGGTGAGAAATTTCTTGTTTCTATATCTTATTCTTATTGTTGCTGTATTATAATCATAGTTTTATTTAACTGACATTTTCTAATTACTATGCCAATCTTGCTGTCTATTTTTGTCAGCTTTGTACTGTATTTCTTGCTTTTTTTGTTTGTTCTTAGACTGAAACCGATTCTGCATCTCAGTCCTCACAATTGCCTAGCCCTGCAAGTACTATTGAGTCCCTAACCAGAGACTTGGAGCATTCTTTAGACATTCGCTCAGCAACAAAGGGACAGTATGTTGTTAAACCTCAGGTACTAGAAAAAATATGACAGTTACAATACCCATTATCATTTGAAGCTTATTTCCAAATTAAACAAAGTTTGATTTTGAGAATTATATAGAAAAAAATATGAATAGACTACAAAATAAAATTCTCACATGAAAAGAATGACCTTAATTAGGTGAAGTAGTGATTAAAAATAATTTATTGCAGCACATATTCTGCTACCCACTTTTTTGGTTTATAATTGTTTTTATAGTAGGTGGATAGATGCAAAGCTCAGAGAAAAGTATCTCGAGACAGGAGACAGACTTAAGCAACACCTTTTCTATCTGCCTTTAGGATGAAGATAGGGCCCGTGCAGAGGGACCACCCCCAGAAGAAGTAGACCGAATCAAAATTGATAAGGTATCTTCTCGATCCAGCCAAGCTTCCAACAGCCCACGAGGATCTGTTGGTAGCAATAGCAATGGTCGCAAACCATCTCTGCTGGTGAGTGCTACCAATGAGAGCACAGGACCTTCAATTATTCCGACAGTTGGTTCAGGCACAGGCACTGCCAGTAGTACTAGCAGCAACAGCATGAGAGACTTCAGTTCAGTTGGCACAGGTTTGTTTACCTGTATTTTTTGTAATGTAGCCCCTTTCTCTAAATGTATTCTGTCTGATCCAATATTAAAATAATAATAATATTTTTCAGGGAGTGGTGGAAAACGTGGAAGAAGTACTCTAGGGTCTCTCAGTAGTAATAGTATTGGTAGAGATGGTGGTGAAGGAAGTCGACACTCCCTAAGCCCGAGAGGGTCAAAGGAAAGGCGAAGATCAGCTGGTGATGAGCAAGGAATGCTGGCTCAGCTGAATATGTTTGTCCGCACACGTACCGATTCTGGTAAACAACTCTCAGATATGGTATGGTAGTTCAACACTTATTGTGTTTTGTCCCTCATCTTGGTCTTCCTAACTAACAATTTACCCTCTTCCAGGAAATTTTATCACAAGTAACAGTTCTCAATTTAGATACCGGCGAAAGAGTACCTTTAAGTATTGCTGAGGATAAACTTCCACAGTGTATCAACCCTTTGTCATTACATATCATGCGCCTCACATCGGAATACGCTGGGACTGAAACAAACAGTCCTACCTCTAGACCTCGTGAATCTGATGAAGAGAGCATAGACAGCAAAATGTCTGTACCTCTTTCAGTGTGTGATTCACTTGATATTGATGATGCAGAAAGTGAAGCAGGTAGTGTAAGGAAGAAAACTGCAAGATTTAAAAGATTTTTGGGCTCAACAGTCAAGAAAACAATGAACAAAGCTAAAACTATAGCCCAGGAGGTAAGACCATCATATATAGAGACGCACATAACCTGAACAATGACTTGATCGGGTTCCAGTCCTGGATTTGTTCAAAGTGTAAAAAAATATGCGACACTGAAGGCAAGGCATTCCACAATATTTTAATTAACTACCATTCTTTTATTTCAAATTCCAGGTGTCACATGCTCGCCACAAAGAAGATGTAATGGATATAGTGGATAAAGTTAATCCTAATGAACCCTCTAATATGAAATTAAAAGCAAGTAGTAGTCACAAAGGACCCTATGAGTTTGATCAGCTTCAGCATATTCAGGATCTTAGTGGTGAACATATAGGTCCTATTTGGTGCATGAAATTCTCAACCTGTGGAAGACTGTTGGCAACTGCCGGACAGGATCGCATTCTTCGTGTATGGGTCATCAGAAGTGCATATGCCTATTTCCAAGTGAGTATAATCAAAAAATTGTGTGTATCAATTTGTAAAATATACATATCTATGTTTTAGTATTCTACATCTTATTATCTACTCAACTTACTCAAGCAATTTGTTTTAGGAAATGCGAACAAAATACAATGCAGAAAAAGTGTCGCCTACTCCATCTCAAGAGTCTCTAGTCTCTCAGAATTCTGCTGGTGCAAGTTCAGCAGGTGCTGGCTATGACACTGCATCGATTGATCCTAATCCAAACAGCCCTTTTATGCCACGCCCATTTTGTAAATACACTGGTCACACCTCAGATTTGTTGGATGTTTCTTGGTCAAAAAACTACTTTGTTCTGAGCTCATCCATGGATAAAACTGTAAGTATTAGTTATAAATACATAACATTCAGATTATAAAAAACGTTTTGATGCTTACTTTTCCTAATAACACTCTTATTACCAGGTTCGCCTCTGGCATATTTCTCGAAAAGAATGTCTGTGTTGCTTTCAACACATCGATTTTGTGACAGCTATTGTATTCCATCCTCGTGATGATAGGTACTTTCTAAGTGGATCATTAGATGGTAAAATTCGTCTTTGGAATATACCGGATAAAAAGGTAAAATATTTTAGAGTATGCTTTTCTAGAGTTTTGTTTGCTCAATATCAGAACAGCACATTTCTCTCTTTTCTGTGGTCAATAGGTGTCCTCTAATTTTTGGGGGCAACTTAGTGTCGTTTTGATGATTAACTAAACCAGGTAGCAGATTATTAACCTATCGTACTTTTGTAGTTATACTATATCGCCTGCAAGCGTGCGTGCGGGTTGCCTACCCGCTCGGGGCAGTAAGGTACCGGCCTGCACGCCTGCCTGTGATACAGTAGCCTTTGGCTACATAGGGTTAATTGGCCATCTGGTACAAATCTAAATGATATTTTTCTTTCGTGCAATTAGAACCATGTGAGATAGAATGAAAAGGTCATCATATTGAAGACTGAATTGTCAACTAATGATACAAACAAACACCAGCTAAAAGCTTTCGGTGTCCCTGGTTTTAACTTTTAACTTTTACTCTGAAAAATGTGTTTTGTCTTTAATGAGTGTCATTATATCATCTTACTGAGTATTCATTATTGATTATTATGTATCTTGATTAATGTTGTAGGTAGCTGTGTGGAATGAAGTAGAAGGCCAAACAAAACTTATTACTGCTGCAAACTTTTTCCAAAATGGAAAATTTGCTGTTGTTGGCTCATATGACGGGCGCTGTATATTTTACCACACTGACCAGTTAAAGTACCACACTCAAATACATGTTAGGTCAACACGCGGAAAAAATTCCACAGGCAGGAAAATAAGTGGTATTGAGCCAATGCCTGGAGCAGATAAAATCCTAGTTACTTCAAATGATAGTAGAATTCGTCTCTATGACCTCCGAGATTTGAGTGTGTCTTGCAAATATAAAGTAAGTTTAATTATTTTATCAAATGTTGTATTTCTTCTGTTTTTTATTCTATTTTTCTATGTGTCTGTCTAGGGCTATGTTAATGTAAGTAGTCAGATTAAAGCAAGCTTCAGTCATGATGGAAAATACATTGTGAGTGGATCAGAGAACCAATGTATTTTCATATGGCGGACAGACCATGACTATTCTAAATTTTCATCTGTGCGCAAGGATAGAAATGACTTTTGGGAAGGCATTAAAGCCCATAATGCTGTTGTTACCTGTGCTGTATTTGCTCCAAATCCGGAGGCTGTTTTTCGACAAATTGATGATCTGAATGAAAAGGATGAGGAGAAGGCAAAACCAAAAGCGGTAAGTAAATCTCTGTTCAGGAATGTCTACTTACTATAGACAATTTTGGTTGATTTAAATTGTTGCACTAATTACTTTCTGGCCTGTTTAATGTAGGTTGAAGATCCACTGGTCGCACAGCATAAGCAAGGCTGTGGTGGTCATGTGTTAGTAAGTGCTGATTTTAATGGCTGCATAAAAGTATTTGTAAATAGAACTAAACCTAAACACAGTTCATTACCAGCATCTGCTTTGGTGTGAATGAAGACTCAATGTATACTCATTGCGAGTGAGCCACATAGGTAAGGTGGATGTAATCTTGTGAAGCCAAAGCCGAAGACGCAACCTGAAGTTAATATTGAGGCCCCAGGCCACTGTTTCTCTTCCAGCAGCAGCTGACAGACAGAAATAGGTAGTTCTCTTATGGCTTTGTCTTCAGCATGAAAATCTACTTCAGGAGTTGAAATTCACCTACAAGTGGTAACACAATAAACCATTGATATCTATTGTATGGGGAAGAGTTCAACCATTTTGTATGGTAATCATTTATAAATGAAATGGGACCAAAATCAAGTGGCCCAGTTACCCACACTTCTTATTATTCTAGGCAAAGTTTAAGTAGTAATTTTCCTGTTAATGTAGAACTTAAACTCATGCTTTTGGTGACTTTATTTCACAAGGTAACATAAACTGCATTTCAATACTTGTAACTTTTAAAGAACGCTTTGGTACTTTTTTTGTCAATCATTTATTTGTTATCTATATAAGTGGATGACGTGTACTGTTGTTTTTGTTTGTTTTGGTTCTTGTTGTTGTTTGTAATAATTTTGTTTTTCCATTGAGCCATTTTGATACTGAGTTTCTCTACCTGATAACATGGTAATTTTATTCTCTATTCTGTTGCCACTATCCTGTTATCCTGAATTGAGTGCTAGTTCCTATTTTTTCACACATCTTAAAATCATTAAACATCAATTGAGTTGTATGTGGATATGTTTCCTGCTTTTAGCATGACATAATTTATCCATTAGTATACAACAGATGCAAATGTATGAGGTGCCTATGTTTAAGGTCAAGTCAAGTTCACCTTTACACTCCATGTACATCAGTCTTAGGTTTCAGTTCCGGATGTACTGATATGTTCATCAACAGTAGTTGCAGCAAGAGTTAGTCATCTTCTAGCCACTGTGTATGCGAACTGGATGGCCTAATCTAATTAAATTGATTGAAGTGTAGGACTAAACTCTTTGAAAACTTTATGTACTATGTTATATAAGTGGTTAAGATTTGATACTACTACCAATATATGTGATATTTGGCCTGTGTTATGATTATGTAATTGTTAATACTATCAGTCATATTATTTTATGGTGTGATCCAGCACTATCTTATGCTGCATTCGTGTCTTACTACCCCCCTTCTAAATGACTGGTATCTGAAAGTGAAGAAAGTATTGCTCTACCAAACAGTAAGCTCTTCTCAATGCCATTTACAATAGATTAATGTACCTAGATGTTACTACTCTTAATCAAATTGGGTCATTGCATTGATCTTATTGAACTTTTAAAATAAATTAAAACACAACTTTATCAGAAAATGATTAAGAAAATATGAAATTAAACATAAATGTCAAAGGTTTACTGCAATACATTTTGTTCAATTCTGGCAAAAGAACTTAAAATCTAGAAATCTATGTAACATTCAGAAATGGAATCTCTTGACAAGCCATTTCTTTTACTAATTGGAAATTATTGCAAAACTGCTTAATTTAAATAGCAATGGTTTATAGCTGTGTGAGAGTTTATCTATTTTCTTGAGAGCTTAATCGCTTTCAGAAAGATGTGAAGCAATTTAAATGATAAGGGCTAGATTGTAACATTTGTGGTTGTGTTCACACTTTGTACTTTGCACAACTATTTGCATTTCTTCATTCTATTTAAACAGAACTTCCATAAAGTTTGTCCCATGCCCTTCTGTAAATAGTTTTTTTAATCTATCATCCAAGCAAAGTTTGTGAAGCTTTCAATTATTTGTCAAGCTGTGTGACTGAAAAGCCAACTTACAAATACTGTAATGTACTGCAGAATTTAACGTCTTCTGTTGTCTTCTTTCTAAAAGCTGTTTTTTCTCTCTTTTAAGGAAAAGTTAGTAATTTTGCTGACAATTTGTGCCCCGGCAGTAAATATAAGTGTATGCTTAATGTTAAATTGTGAGAACCACAACTGCTGCTTCTTCTTCTAAAGATACAGATATTAATCATTTTCTGTTTAAGCATTTCTAACTGAATTAAATTTGTTAGGCTTTTAGTTTCAAGCTACCTGTTGATCTATTTTATCTTGTCAAGTCTTTCATGAAGCCAGTACATTAGTCCTAGTCAGGGGAAAGGTTCAGAGATCCCTCTGTGCAGACCGGCCATTCGAATTCTTAGTTAGGAAATACATGTGGGTGATGCTATGTTGAAGGTTGTGTTTTCATGATTTGCGTTTCTTGTATACCGGGATCATACATATACAAATGATCAAAATGGAATATACATTTTACATTCCGAAATATGCACATAAATCCAGAACCCCAAAAAGTACAACCCACTAAATACCATCGACTTCACAGATTTCTTAAAATAGAAATGAAATAGTCAAGGGAGGACCTCCGCACAGGGGGATCTACGGGATTTGTCCCTAGTCAGCAACCATTGTGTCAGTGTCAGATGCTTTGATTTTGACTACTGACATTGAAGTCTGAATAATTATGGGATGTTCATACTTGATGTTTTGGGTTTTTCTAATTTTGACTGAGGGCAAGAGCTATTGGAATTAGTTTTACCAATGCATCCACCGGTCAGAAATACCATGTATATCTTTTGTTGTAGAACCTTTGTATCTTGTAATTGTTTTCCACTGGCTTATTTCGTTTTATTATTGTTTTAATTTTCATGCATATTGGATCTTTCACATGCTCTCTCAGTCTGTCCATGTCAGGGTGGTCATGTCTCATGCAATGGGGAAATGTAATAAATTTTAAAGGCAATGAAATAAAATTTATCTGATTTGCATACATGCTGCAACAGTGTGAATGTGGTGTTGGGGGTTGCCACCCTGTTTTTTTATCTTGTTAAATTACTGTACATCAGTATAAAAAAAAATCCTTTTTAAAAATGATGTTGTCAATGAATTATTTTCCTACATGTTTTAATTTCAAAGTGGATTATTTAATGGAAATACCTGTATCTGTTTGAATATGCTCTCCTGAAACTGATGATTTTGTGAACTAGGGAAAAAGAGGCAGTCATTTTAAAATAAAATGCTTCTTTAGAATGTGACAATGTCTTTTTTACTGAGAAACCCTTCATGCCTCAATCTATTGGTAGGTAAACAATGATTTGACCAGGACTTCCTTCGCAAGGAGGAATTTGGGTACTAACAGTCACCATGATATCAAAATGGTCCCCTTTACGACTCTTCTTGATGTCATTGTGACACTGATTTGACTCAAATGTCACATCCTGTCCAAAAGTGGACTATTTTGACGTCATGCTGACAGTCAGTGCTCAAGCTCAAATTCCTCCTTGGGTTGCTTATTTGCAAAGTAGGTACTAGTTATGGAAATGTGTTAGTAGAAAATTAAGGGAAGGCAATAGAAATTATTGTTCAATTGTAATTTTTTTATATAAACATGATTATAGATAGAAGTATAGAAACTAGAATAAAGTTTGTTAACAAAAGTGACCTCAAACTTTTACATTCTTCTAGTTATGACATCAGGGTATGGGCTGAACATGGCCAGACTTACTTATGCTTTGCCTTGACTTGTAGGTTTTCCTCCACAACATCCTTTTGAGTTCTCTGAAAAGGAAAATTAATTTTAAAATCTCTGTTAAATTCTGTAGTTAAATTTTGTCATTTTCGTGCAGGGGGACGTCCCCAAGGAAAACGTTTCTCTCACGAAGACCTCATTGTGACCTCAGAGGTCATGATTTTTGCACTTGTGAGGTCACCAGTGAGGTCACAAGTGCAACAATCGTGACTTCGTAAATCATAAAGAGGTCACAACGAGGTCTTCGTGAGAACCCCGTTTTCCTTGGGTCCACGCTTTCTGGAGCAAGCCGCAGCCCGAGGAGTCAGCTTAAAGGAGCTTTTATCCGAATAAGAAGAGGAGGGATCCAATATATCATATACCTGATCCTGTGCAACAGTTGCAGTCTGCGCCACAGTTGCAGTTGTCCCCACACTTGCACTGACAGGTCTCATTGGGGCAAGTCTCTGAAAAAGGTTGAAACAAACAAAACACCGTTTTATGTACACAGTATATGTGATTCAAAGAAGACGCAGGTGCGGGCGCGAGTCAAGGGGCCATGGCGCTAGGCAAACCCGCCTGTCAATGAATCATCCAGCACATGTACAGGGTGGTCCATATACCCCTCCCTTTATTTTGCTTATGCTGTACCGCATGCAGGCGTGCGGGCGGGCTTGCCTACCGTCGCTCCGCATGGCGCCTATGGCCCCGTGTGAGTATGCAACCCGCCCGCACGCCGGCTTGGAGGGTTTGACCGGTTTGACACCCGATAACTGTGGCGGTCTGCACCATACTCCCAAAATGCCTGTTCTTGAATGAAGTACATCTGCTCGGCTAAACAGAGAAAATTTGCTTCTCTCAATACAAATTGCATTCTTACAAATGAAAATTGCATTGGCCTGATACAAATGTTCTTTGCGAAATCAACGGTCAAAAACATGCTTTTCTGGGGGTAAAGGACGCGGGAGGGCTTATTGAGTATGAGACGCGGGCCCAGGCTGGAAGTCAGACTCAAAACAGCCAGAACAACCACTTTGCTTACAGTGTCCGACATGCCGCATTACTGCGCGGAGCGATAGCGCCCGCATCCTTCGATTTTTCTTGAATTCGACATTTATATTTACTGGCCCCGCCGTCCGCCGTGCGAGTTGTGGCGATTCATGGATGATCCCAGATCAGAGTACCTCCGCCAGTCCTCGTTTCTAATTCCCAGTTAGAAATGAATTTTCTTCAACGTCAATTCGATGTTGCGACTTTGTCCCCCAAATCCAAAAATTAGACACTCTATACAGAGTTTCTGCACTTGTGCTAGTGACCTTGGTGCGAGTGCCCCCGGGGGAGAGAGGATTTGAACCAAGGACTGTCGCTGTGACGTACTAAGTTAAATCTTAGTCACAGGCATTATGCTGAGTCAGAAGGGCAGCAATTGCTGCAATTGTTGTCTTAAGACAACTTTTGACGGCTAGTGACGGCTAGACGGTGACGACCAGGTGACGACCAGAGACGGTTTACGGCCCGAATTCCTCCTAAGGCCGTTTCTCTATGACTCACTCTTGCAGCAGCGGCAGGGGTTCGGCATGGTGACTGAGTACGTCGAGGACCGGAGGGGAGAAGTAACGGCTCCAGCTGTCGTCGAGGGTCAACTGATACCAGGCCCCGGCTAGGCTCACTTATATCGAGCGGGACGAGGGCGGGGCGCGGGGTGCCAAGCCGAGCCGGGCCGTGCGCATCTTGGCGCAACACACGGCGGGCGGTCGTAGAGGAGACTCTAGACGGTGGGGCGCCAAGAGCGCCAGCGGCAGAGCCGGGTGCACCAAGGGCCGTGCGCAGCGCGCGCCACGGTGCGGTGCGAGTGCGGGCCGTGCGGGCATGTGCCGGGTGCACCGCGGCTACGCCCGGACCACTGCGCGGTGCGCAGGCGCCGGCGCCGGTCTGGCGGCCGCGACGAAAGGCTGCGCCGCGCGCCGCTGGCGGCTGGCGACTGGTTGGCAATCACTCGGGGCAATACGCCTCGGCCTCGGCGACTCGGCGGCAGGCGGCAGAACGGCGGCCAGAGTCAGCTTGATCCGACCGAGGAGACCCTGAAGTTGGCGTTAAGCTAGCAACCCGGGATATGCCTCTGCGATTAATCAAAATATGCATCGATTTTGAGCAGATGATTCGCAGTTATCGTCATACCCCCGAACAGAAAAAATCGGCTTCAAAATGGCTGGGGGCCCAGCTGTGAATGAGAGCGCCTGGTAGGTAGGCAGGCCCGCCGAACATACTCGAATCACGCCCGTGGCGGTATTCAGTGAGTGGGTGACCCTGGGATGAGTTGTGGCTGAGGGCTCAGTTGTGGCTGAGAGCGCCTGGAGGGTAGTCAATCCTTCCAAAAGCGTCCAGATTTCGGCTGTAGATTACTCTAGTAAAACTGAACAGATCCTAAGGTGGGCGATCGCCTAACGCACAGGAAAACCAGTTTTATATCGATTCAA